TATACACACACACACACACACACACACACACACACACACACACACATACACACATAACACTTCTTGACAGGAGCAGATGCTCAGTTCATGTGAAGTGAGCATTGTGGGTCCATCTTTTGTTTGAAATGCATTAGTGAGGCCTGTCACAGAGGAAAGACCTTAAAGTGTCCAACATTATTGCTGAGGTGTTTACCAACTTTAAGGAGAAAGAATACAACCTGTCTTTTTTTTTCTTCCAAACTTCCGCAAATAGTATATGTAACTTAGAAATAAAAATAAACACAGCAAATGTACAAGTGTGTTCTAAATGTTATCAGGCTCCACAGATATGCAGAAGAGTTGTGAAGGCAAGAAAAGGCCCTCAATGGGAGATTCCATAGTTAATAAGAGGCTTGAATATCAACAAGTTCACACGTACATCAAGCTTAGCACATTTAACAAGAGACTTAGATATATAAAACTGGCTCCCTTACCTTTTCCAGCACAAAGATGCTGGTTTTAAAGACTTTCACTTCTCTGTTGGCATCAATGAAACAAGCTGAAGAAAAGAGAAAGAATAACAATAATCAAAATATATAAAGAAGTTACAAAGCTCAAGTTGTTAACAAACAATCCTAGTCAAAGGTTTCTCTGTAAAATAATGTAAAAAAAAAAAATCCAGAAATGTCACTGTCATGCATATAGCTCCGGGAATAACCAGGTAGTCATCCAGGTGTTAGGAGCTATGCTGATTCTGTAGTTACTTTCAGTAACAAAATGACACAGTTCACTGGGAAAATGTTATGATTTAAAGAATCCATATAATCAACATAAATCAAGAAACTTTTGGTATGAGTTATAGATCTGCAGTAGAGGAGTTGTCTAGCATGCCTGAAGCCCTGTGTTCCATACTCAGCACCAGAAAAAAGCTTTTAATGACAGAAAAAAAAATGCTGGCAAAAAAAAATTAACTCAGGGAGCTCAGACACTTAGGTTCCTATGCAAAGCCCCCAATCCCATCCACCTTCATGAGGAAAACCAGGGAATATCTTCTGACCACTACTTATTCTGACCACATGATACACCCAGGGGTAGGGTTCTCTGACTTGCACCCTACCCCAGGAAGAAGTGTGGGGGACACAGCCTATGAAAATACATCTGTGTAACACAGGCAAGAGAGCTTTAAGCACAGAGTTCACATAGGTGCAGCAGCCTTGGACACCCAAATTCAACTGTGCAAGACCGCATCAGGCAAGGGTACTAAGAGGCAGAGATGTGGAACAGATTTCATTCCATATAAAACTAAACAAACCAAACACACTCAAATGCACTGTTCCATAGAAGAACATGTGGTATCAAATTGTGATGCCAGATGTAACTCAGAGGTTATCATGGTGAAGGGCAACAGCTACTAGACAGGTGGCGGGTACACAAAGCTCTGTAAGGCAACTGGGCCATTTTCCTGTAATTCAGTCAAATTCCAATTTCTAGCAGAATTAAAGGATACTGAGAGCTTCCCACGAGGTCCTGTGAACTAAAGTTCATAGCCAGGTTGGGGTACGAAGACAGAGGGGAATATAACACAATGAAACCAGGTCAAGCCTCCCTCTCCCTCTTCTGAATATTTGCCTAGAGACAGTGACAAGAGTCCTAACAGGAAAACCTGCGAGGACTAGGGATAAGGTGAATTTCATGTTGTTCATATAAATGCCTCCTGTACACAGCAAGAGTGAGCCACCAGGGAGGACCGGGGAGGAACAGAGGAGCTGTGAAGTTTCTAGATCTTGACATTTATAGACAAGAACAGAGAGCCTGGCAAAGGCTCTAGAGCAGTGACCCAACTATGTTATCTGAGAAGGAGCACTGCAACTTCCTCTCTATTAAGGGAAGAACTTCAGATGAGGCAAGGAAGATGCTTCTGAACAGGGAATGAAGGGCAGGTATTAAAGGAAGAGTCTTAGGTACAAGAAAGCAAAGCAAGGTGGCCAATGCCATGAGGGCAAACTCAGAATGTAGGAGCTCAGGGGACTAAACAAATCACCAAATTGAAAGAGGGCATAGCTGAATAGACTAAGGCAAATAACTAAGGCTAGAATGTCATTAAGACCCACAGCAAGAAAGCAAGGTGGGCAAGGAAAGGGGTACAGACCTGGGGGATTGGGCAGCATTCAAGGAAAAGTGTCTCTGTCTCAGGTCTCTGGACAAAGAGCTCTAGAAAATGGAAAAGTCAAGAAGTTAAGGCCATGGGTTTATGAAGTCTACCAAGTATAACACTTAGTGGGATAATAGTTTATAAACATAAAAGGCTAAGACTAAGAGGTCAATACCAAGTGTAAATGGTTGACAGACACAGGAAGAAGACTGTATGTAGTTCTGGAAGGTGACATGAGGGGGCTGAGAAAGACCAAATGCCTAAAGCCAATAGGGAATGATCAGGGGTGCAAGGCTCAAGTGGTAAGGGCAGAGAAACAAGGGTAGAACAAAAAGATAAGGAACAAGTTACCAAGATGAAAAGGTTATTCATACTAGGTGATAAGGAGTAAAAGGCAAAAAAACAAGAGGGTATGGACATAGGGAATGGGTCAAAAATGAACAACAGTGTTGGATCTGGCCCTAAAATCCATTTAAAAATAGATTGGCATAGAGATAAATATTGGCATAGAGATACATATTATATAAATATTTTTAAAGTCTCTATTGGCATAGATAAATATTTTTAAAAATGCCAAGAAACCAGGAGTTTGACGATTAATAATTGGTGTAGGGCCACAGGGGATGCCAGGTAAATAACCATAGAACTTAAAATGAGCAAGTAAAAATCAAATGGGTGAGAACAGATGTGCAAGGGTGGTGGAGTGGAGAGCTATAGATGGGTGGTGGAGTGGAGAGCCAGGAACATGGGGAGAAAGCCAGTGTGCAGGGTCAGAAGTCCAGGCAAGGTAGAAACAAACAGGCAGAAAATAGTATAGGAAATGGTAAAGGAGCCAAACAAGGGTAGGGACAACAACTGAAAAGGGCAGATGGGCATGAAAAAATGAGTAAGAATAAGTCTAGGAGTTCATGAAGGCCAGCAGGGAGGGCAGTGGGAAAGACCACAAAGGATCTGGCTGAGGGATTCTGGTACGGCGTAAAGGCAGTCTACACTGTGGGTCTGGGGAAGGGCTCTGGAAAGTCCAAGAAGATCAGGAGTTTAATGAGTGTAGGGCCATGGTAGAAGGCAGTCAAATACACCTATAAGTTACAGAAGCAGTTAACACCAGATGGGTGAGGACAGATGGTATAGTCTAGATGGCTATAACTGGAGTTTGGTGGTCAACCAGGACTTGTGGAAAATCCCAGGGCTCAAAGCCATGGGTTGAGTCAAGGTGGTCAAGTCTGTGGGCTGTAACTGGAGTGGCCCAGTCAGAGTGGCCAGGCCAGGGTCACCATGCCATGTGATAAGCACAATTGTGCATTGAAATTATTTAAGACCTGGTGACTCAACAAGGTGGTCAAGCTAGGGGGTCATAAAAGCCAGTGGGCAGTTCAGTCCATGACTGATTGGGCAGAATGTAAGAGGTAGAGGGTCTGTTCCAGGGTCTAGGCAGCACGTCACACAATGGTAAAGCTAAATGGACTAAGACAGGCACATGACACCAGTCCTTAGCTTTCTTAGTTGTTTTCTGTACAAGGGCATATGGCAAAGGGAGAAAGCAAGCTGGGTTTCCAGGTGGACAACAGCACATACCAAATGATATGTTGTCACAAGTACAGGTTTTACAACCTTTCCAACGTTTTAAAAAACCCATGGGGAAAAGTGTTTGTGGGGCAATGACAAGTTGGTAAATTCAGGGTTCTAACCCAGGGGGATATGTATAGGAAGGAATGCCAAAGGAATTAAGTCCAGGGCCCAGGTTATGGTGGCCAAACCATGTGTCAAATTCCATGTGGGCAAAACAAGAATTATTAAGATCTTATGCTTGTGGCCAGAAAGTTATTAAGACTATTGAAGCCAAGAAGGATTGTTAAGATGAGGGGTGTCTGGCCTTCAGGGCTTTTTAAAGGGAATATCATGTGGGTCTGAATAGGGAGGTTTGGCCTGGAGTTTTTAAGCCATAAAAAGCTTAGAAGTCGAAGCCCAGAGATTAATTCTAGGAGCTCAATAAATATAGGTGAGTGATGCCAGATGGGTGATCCTAGGAGATTATATTAGAAGGACATTAATATCAGATAGACATGATGAGATTTTAAGTCCATAATATTAGCTCTAGCATCTAGTGCCCTCCGTGTTAAGGCCAGGGAGCTGAGGCTAGGGGACCAAGGCCAGGGAGAGGAAGTCCAGGGATACTGTCTGAAATCAAACGTTAGGGGAAGAGTGACATATGGGTATAACCAAAAATGTTAAGACATGTGCCTAAGCCCAGGAGGTCATTAATTCCGGTGAGTATAAACTAGGGCAAAGGCAAAAGGTAAAGTTTACAAGCATATGTATATCTGTCTACAGATTAAGGGCAGTAGGTTATGACCAGTGTTTTTTGACCCTGGGAAAATAGCCAGAAAATAATGGCCTGCTGGACAAGGCTGGGTGGTCAAGTGCAGGTACATCTTTATGTAGATAGGCATAGCAAGGATGGTTACGACACGGTGAGTAAGGTCAAGAATTCACTTTGACCTATGGCCAAAGACAAATGATTGTGGACTGGGTGTGAGCATAGAATGATTGACCAGGGTTGTTTGGTCTGTGGGCTCTGGCCATGGGGGTAGGGCCAAGAAATTAAGGCCAGGAGGAGCTTAATAAGTCTAGGTGAATAAGACTAGGTAGATATACCAGGTTGGTAAGGCTAGGTGATTAAGGTCCAGAGTTTAATAACAAAAAAATATGACCAAGTGCATAAAGCCAGGAGGATACAGACAGGTAGATAAGACCAGGTGGTCATGTCCTGGTTTATAATGCCAGGAAGTTAATGAGTATGCCCAAGGAGGTAAGGCTGGACTTGGGGAGGAAATAGCTTCTGTGTATGTGTAAGTGGACCTAGTCAGGGTGTTCTGGTTATGGGGGATAATGCCAATATGTTGAGGGCAAGAGATGAAGGCCAGGACTTACTAAACCTAGGTGAGTTAGGCCATTTGAGAATGACAGGTTGGTAAGGTTGGGAAATAAATTTCATGAGATTAATAGTACATGGATATGACTAGGAGGTAAAGAGCAGGTGGGCAAAATTGGGATTTTAATCCAAAGATTTTAATCCATAAACTGGATTGAAGCCAGTTTGATTAAGTCAGGTGCGTAAGGGCCAGTATGTTGGACCAGGGATTGAGGCAAGGTTGAATTAAGTAGGGTCATAGCAGTAAGACATCTGAGGAAGGTATAAGTACTAAAGCCAGGTAAGACCAGGATGGAGAGGTCAGGTGTATATTATCTAAAGGTTGTGATCTTGGTCAGGTTTGTTATCAGGACATAATGTTACTCATCTTTGTTTCCTCAGTTACACATGGGGCTGCAAACAATCTCTTGGAGAGCATTCTGTGACGTTCATAGCACAGCACAGGATAGAGCCACTCCTTCATGTCATTACCATTCTTCCATGGTCACCATCTAGGTCTAATGGGCCATTTGGGAAAAGCTCACCTTTCTGCAGACAAACAGTAGCCATAGGTCAACCACCTTCTCACTTTCTTGGTGCCAAGGTGAAGAGTGTCTGGTCCTTGTGTCCTCTGCTGATGATAGTTGTTCCCAACTCTTTCCAGTAGTTGGTATACAAGGGTCGTCTCTCAAGTTAATTTGCTGGTGCTTCCTTGTTTATCATCCTTCTTCATCAACACAGCTAGCGAATAAAGAAACACCATGAGAAGATATACAATGCAAAGGGTCAGGAATGGAGAGGGAGGCCGAAGCAAATCTGTAGAATGTGTAGGCAACACCATATAAACAGCATCCATTTACTGCCCATGGATACTTCTGGCCTCCATGGGACTCAGGCAAGTCAGGGTTCATCACAGAGGGTTAGCATTTGGGACACAGTAAACACAAGCACTGCTCAGTATAAGTACAGCAGTGATGGTAACTTTTGTGCTTATGTTTATAAAGCACACTTTATCACACTTATGGAAGTCAATTTTTTATATATTCCAACATCAGCACTGAAAGAAAGCTACTCACCTCTTGCCCAATAAAAACCCTGGCCTCAGTCATAGGGATGCACCTTTCCTCATCTCCAGTGCCCATATTTACATGATCCACCTGGGATCTCATCCCCTGTGGCACAATCCTAACCCCCAGTGAGCTGGAATTCGAGGTAGAGACTCTGTGCATGATTAGGTCATGAAGATGGCACCCTCTTAAATGCTACTAGTGCCCTTTTGAAAGGGCTCCAGAAATTTCCCTTGAACTCTTCATCATGTGAGAGAGGGCACAATCTATGAACCAGGAAACTGGCCCTCATTAGACACTGAAATCTGTGAATGAGTGCCTTAAGTTGGAGCCTCTAGAACTGTGAATTTCTGTTGTTGATATGCTACCCAGTTTGTGGTACTTTTGTTTTAGCAGCCTGATGGAACTAAGACAGGCTCCTACCTCCTCACTCTCATCTCTGTCATCCTGTTCTAACTGAATTGGTTACTGCTAATCTAGAGAATATTAGAAATTATATAGCTTTGGAAGCTGAAACATTCTCTCTTTTCTTGATCACTCACACAAGGAAAGTTAATGGGCAGGTTGTGAGGGCATTCCTGTGGAAAAGCCCTTATGGTGAGAAATTGGACCCCCTGCCTATAGAAGCTGGGGAGAGCTATCTGGGAAGCATATTCCCTAGCTCCTGACATGACAATCCTCCTGATGCTTGTAGATCTGAGCAACACGTTAACTTCCATTCATGAGATTCCAGAACAGAAGTACCCAACCAAGAAGCCACCACATTCCTCACCCACTGAAACTGTGTAGAATGGTAAATATCTGTTGTCACATAACAACTAAATTTTGGGGTGATTTGTTTCATGCAAATTGATACTAAAACTGTTTTCTCTTGAACATAAAAATAGTGTTTGTTTGTGGCTGAGATATGGCTGAGCGGTAAAGTGCTTGCCTTCCACGTGTGAGGCACTGGGTTCGATCCTCAGCACCACATAAAAGTCAATCAACAAAATAAAGATACTGCAGCCATGTACAACTAAAAAGTATATTTTTTTAAAAAAATAGTGTTTGTTGTTTTCATCAACCAAGTTAGGTCACTGAGTATATTTTTGAAGGGATCTTCAATCATGAACTAGTTCATGATCCATAAGGAAAGGACACTAGCATTATCCCCTGTAAGAACCGATCCCACTGTATCCACATTGAGGCAGTGCAGTTTCAACCTTCCCATAAACATTGCTTGCTTTCCTAAATCTCTACCTCTTTCCTAGAAGCTGACCCCAAAGTACAACTTTAGTATGATCTAATCAGACTTCATTGCTCTATAATGATGAAGTACAGAATGAAGCAACCAAATATTGCAGGAAATTTTTAGTCTTCTCCAAAAAAGAAAACCACTATGCTGATGACTCAATTTCAATTTGTGGGTAACTCTAACACCCTACTGAAGTCCTGTACAACCACAACGAAGTTCAGTTAGTCATTTCCCAGTCCAAAACTTAACACTTGTCATTCATCATTCAAGGTTGTTCACATTTACAGAGGACCACTTGTTCTCACTATCCACTTCATTACCAGGAAGGAGGCAAGCAGAGTGTGCAGAGACTCTAGGTCTCCATTCCTACCCGAAGAATGGGACAAGATCATGAGCGCCCCACAAGAATTAGAGTCCTGTGTAAACACTTAAATTCTAGGTGGGGGATGGGAACTAATCATCTGGATCTGTCTGAGACAAAGAGGAAATTCTAGGACGTAGAACTTTAGGGCTCAAGTCAGGAAAGCCCCCAACTAGATGTCAAATGCTAACTGCTCCATGGAGCTCAATAGTAACACCATCCAGGGTCTGTCTCATACAAACACTCATATTAACATTATTTCAAGGGGTGCACACCAGCCTACTGAGCATAGCCTCCAGCCTCATTCCACTTCCTGTGTCAAAAGGATCTCAGCATACAAGCCCCTGCTCTCAGAAATGGAATAAAAATGCTAGACTGCACTTATGTGAACTTGCTCATCTTTACCTCAAATATCTATAGCTGGATGACAATCCCAAGAATCCTAAGCAAAACTTACCAGATCAGAAGCCCTGACTATAACACACGGAGCCATCTGTAACTTCCCCCTTCCTAACTCCCTGATCCTCATTCATGTGAATTTGAGTCTCCACTGACATTTTAGATATTAAGACACTCTAAAGTCATACATGATAGTAGACAAGTTTCAGTAAAAGGGGTCAAATTATAGTCTCTTCATTTTTAATGTGTACCCATTCTTAAGTTAATTTTCAATAATGACTACAAACCTAAGTCAAATAATCATAGATATTGACTTAAAATTTCATTACCTTGACACCATCTAGACTAGTATTCACATAAGTCTTTCTGTCATGTATTAGCCCATAGGTTATAACCTGCAGGAACCGGATGACTCGCATCAAGACGTGAATTGCTTATTTTTTAATGTATTTTTGAAATTGCTATTTTATTCTAACATAAGTACACTGGAATTATTTTCCTAGGAAGCCTTTATTCTCAAGATACTAACCTATCTCCAGGAAGGAAATGTCAAGCTGCTAAATATATTAATGTGTAACCCAATTGAAAATGTATTCTTTGTCCACAAGTAAACTTAATTTTTCTTAGAAAAACCATATTAGACCATTTGCTTTTGTAATTAATGGAAACAAAAGTTGATTTTTTTCTTATATTGGATAAAACAGTAATTAGTAGCAGCAAAAACTGTAAAATACACATTTCCAAAACACACCTTGGTACTAAGAAAAGCCAAACAAAAGAGAGTGGTAAAACTAAATATAATTATTTCACTTCATTTAGCAAACCTCACTAGTGGTCACTATATGCCAGGTTTTAAAATGTGACTGATTTCTTGGACAGTGCTAAGTGGGGTCCTATTCCTGCCATCACTTTTTAACTTGCACAAGTGACAGTCCACATAGCCCTGCAGTTCTGCTCAGACCAAACAGAAACTCAAAGCAAGACAGATGGCATGGGTTTGAGATAGGTCCCCACCTCAAGCCTCTTCCCCCTCAGTCGTCATCTCAGCCCCTGAATGTCCCAGCCAGGAAGCCCTGTCACAGCTCTAGGAACACCCCTCCTCCAGGGATTCGGGCCAGGGGCTCTTCTCCTGGCACCTCACAGGTAGTAGAGACTGAGGAAGGCGCCGGCTGCAGCTGGGGGAAGAGATGGAAAGAGGTGTGAAGTTAAACTGGAAGATTGTCCCTGAGGAAGGAATGAAGTGTCAGCACACAGGTGGAAGCTGGGTAGGCTGGGCCCAAATACAAGAGAACCTCAATGCTGCCCGTTATGACACCTCCCCCTTCCTACCTTCCTTGCTGGTCCCTTCTCTTCGTGCTGTAATTCATTTTCTGTTGCCTCTCTCTTTCCTACTAGAGAGAAATCTTGTAAGAGCAAGAATTTTGCCTGGTAAGAAAATGGCTGAAGCAAGGGCCTTGCAATCTGAACTGGCTAGGTTCACAGGCCAATCCTGACCAGGGGTGGGGAAGGATTCAGGAGGCTGCCCAGTAAATAACTCAGGCTTGAGGTTCATCCAGTCTGTCACAACTACTCAACTCTGCTGCTATGGCAAAACAAACAAACAAAAAACAGCCATAGACAATCTTTAAACAAGTGATTATGACTCTGTTCCAATAAATCTTTATTTACAAAAACTGGCAGTGGGCCATATTTGGCAGTCCTTTGCCAAGTGATATTCACATATAGAAGAAAACATACAGGGTGTGTTGGTGTATGCCTATATTCCAGCTACTCGGGAGACTTGGTGGATTCCAAGTTTGAGGCCAGCCTTGGCAACTGGGGGAGACCCTGTCTCAAAATAATCAATAAAAAGTTGGGGGGCTGTATTTCAGTGGTAGATCACTTGCCTAGCACACACACTGTTTTCAACCTCCCAGTATCACAGGGGGGAAAAAAACTGTAATAATGACACAAAAAGACAAAAATGATGCCACTTAGCAGGGAAACTACACGGATCTCACTTGTAGGTATTTACCAGGCACATTGAAAGAGTCTGCAATGGCCACAGATGTGAACATTAGGCATCTGCATAGAGTACTGAACTCAATGCCTCAGAAAAGCATTTAATGTAGTCAACTTCTACTCTGCCTGAACAAGAGTTTACACACCTGTGCATGGTAACTCCACACCCATCAAGTTGCTAAAGGTTTAAAAGCACTCCTTATTAGAAAAACACTATCATGCATGGAACATCATCAATCAGGACACGATGCCAGCTGACAGACTCATGAGCACATGAGCACAGTGGTCATGCAGATGTACAGGGCATAAGAATGGGGCTAGAAAAACCAACTTCTGTATTCCACTTAGATACAGACAACAGCAAATGAAAACATGCAAAAACTGCAGACAATTTAAAGCTTAGAAATCTCTGCTTACTTTTCTTGTGACACTGAAGGCAAACAGACCATTTTAGATCATTTCAGATTACAAAAATGATTGTGTAGGACCTCTTCCTATATCTGAGAACAGGGCTTCCATATGCACCCTAGTTGATATTTGGTCAATTTTAGGATTTAGACAGTAGGGAAGGGGCAGATTCCTCACAGGTTTCCCACCTAATGCAAGCCGCTTACAAAACTTTTTCCACTGATGAACAGGTTTAAGAGCTGCTGACTCATCTCTCAAGTTTTCAAACCCC